TTTTTTCATGCTGCCAATAAATATAATTAGGTACCTGTTAGTTTCTCATTTTGTTGTCAACATTATCGCCAAGGTGGTGAATACAGATCATAAGTATTTCATATAGTATAATATTTCTTTTAATTTTCATAACTGCTCAAAATGTTTTGTAAATCTTGCATGATAAAATTATATGAAATATTAAACTTCGTATGTTGTCATGTTCTGATGTAACCACCACTTCACTTAGCAAGATGTGGGCGTGAATGCGTGTTTGATAATTACTTATACCTCTCCCTACATCCACACTCTAGTTCTGTCGAAATTATCTATGCGTCCTCTGATTACGGGTGAATTGACATGTCGACGAAATGCATAGGATTCACATTTTAAAGGTGATTTCGTCAGTCCCACGACTTCTTTAGTTAGTACATTCCTTGGATCTCATCGACTTCTTGACCCCTTTCTGTTCTATGAAATATCTTTATTTCTTAAAATGCTGGAGTTTTTAGGTTTCTTGTGCTTAGTTCATTAGACAGCTCTCAACATCATTATTTTACACTTTCAGATAGAAGAAACAAGTGAAATAATTAACGTGTTTTATCATTATAAACAGGAAAACTATTGATAATTATGGGTAATGAAACATCGGCAACAATAAACTCTTTAAAAACTATTGAATGGAAATGGCAATCGAATCCTAATCCATGGTCAGAGACTGAGCCACCAACATGGAGTCATTATTCAGATGTCGAAAATCTAATCATTGAAAGAGCATTTTTAAATAAACAACAGCGAGCTATCTTGGATGCTTATTACATTGAATTTAAAGATAATGCGCAAATATTGAACAGTGATAATAGCAAGCAGAGACCCGTACAAAGAATTGCGCGCAAGAGAGAAGACAAACATTTACGAGTAGAACGTTTCATGGATCTACCAGTTGCATCACATCGTTCATTTAGTGGTCAATATGGTTGGGTATCGCCATTCGTCGTGGAGGTCAGAAGATCTTTGGGTCTGCAACCAAATGAACTCCCTTCCAAGAAATCAAATATGATACCTATGCTTGTCGAAAAAGCTGCTCAAGGTATTATCGAAGAAGGCAGACATATTGGAAAACAAAAAGAAGCTGAAGAATTGGCTAATTGCCTTCTAGAAAAAAAGAATAAAAGAATTGGAAAAGTATGGCAATGCTGTGCTTATCTTTACTCGTTGGAAAGCTTCCTATACAAAACTTTGAACACAAACATGAGATTAGTTGGAAGCAAAGAAGACGAACATATTTGGCGACATACAGTCCAAACACTAGGTCCGTTTTGCTTATTACTTTGGGATGATCCATACAACAAAAAAGTGAAAACTAACATCAAACTTTACCGGGGCGCCAATCTCAAACCCGAACAGATCGGTGCTTATAAAAAAATGGCTAGGAATGAAAAAGTATATGGCTCGTTCCAAGGATTTTCATCATGTAGTCGTAATCGTGGAAAAGCAGAAGGATTTGGAAATACTTTGTTCATTATGAAAGTAGTGTATGCATTTATTGCTGATATTAGTGGATTATCGGAATATCCTAATGAAGAAGAAGAACTTGTTACACCAGGTGTATGTTTTCGTGTTCTGGATGTCGAAGAACCTGAAACAGGCAAATATTTAATCTACTTGGAATTAAGACAACGTTTTACTCGTAAGTGAAAAAGATGTGTTGTATTACTTATCATAAAACGAGAAGTATCTTCTGCTGAATATTTTGTTTCTCAGTGGATATGTAGTATCAAAATGAAATTAGTAAATGAAGTTCTTGTTTCATATATTCATGTCTGAAAGTTCTATTTCAGCACGATTACTTATAAATAATTAGTTCAATGCTAACCTCTCTTGATTAATGGAAATTCGAATGCTGTAGAAAAACCTCTTTAGTGCAAAGTAAAGAAAATATTTCTTCCCAATCAATGCTCAAAGCGCCCTTTAAAATCAAAATGATAAGAGCATAGCGATGTTTTTTGTATAACCTGCAGTGAACCGTATCAGATCACCTGGCATATAATACTCTAGTAATAACATAGCTTTTATACATAATTGCATGAATGTTTAAGAAAGTTAAGTCATCTGATTAGTACAGATGTGTCACTAAAAAATTATTTTCATTTGTATTTCTGACGTTTTATTAAACTCACATACGATCGTGTCTTAGACAATCGTTAAAAAGCATTCTATTATCATATCATCTCATAGGAAAAAATTGGACAAATTTATACAATCTATTTGTAATTAGCGAAAACTTCTTTTCAGAAATCAGGCCATAATTAGGATGTCAAAAAAATTAACTTAATTGCGCTTTTAAAATCTGGATGATCTAAAAATGCTGTACTAACTACTAGGTCAAGATCAGAGATATACTATTTCTCATTCATAGTCAATCTTCAAGAAGTTATATTAAACTTTATATTTCTTGAGAGTAGATATGGAGACGGATATGGATATTGTTCTCTTTTCAAGCCCATAACTATCCCACATTATCATCCACGCCCTAATCAACACTAAGTATCGATGAAATTAGTGTGTCTAAATAGCGTGACTGACAAGGCACTGCACATCCGCAATAAATAAAAACTTAAGAAATCAGTAATAATCTTTACGACAAACTTGAGGAAAGATAGGAATTCTTTTACAACGTTTAAGAGAGATGGTACATATTGCAGGAATATCTTGACAACTTACAGTCGTTTCATCGTTTCGTGTAACGTTTTCATTTTCAAGTGACTATAATTGAGTAGTTTACGCTTTCTTTTAAATGAAAGAAGTATCAGAAGCTTAGAAGTTTGATGTTTATTCTGACTTGATTATATTCATCAGAGCCATAAAAATGACTTTAGTAGAATGAACTAAAGTTTTCTCACAGACTTTATTTTATTCAGCCATAATAAGATCATTTCATGCGCTTACGTGTAAGATGACCTGAGTATTGCTATACTCGAGAGTTGAATTCAGCTATCACTTTAGGTATTCTTCTAGAATGAGGAGATAACCTTTGAGAGAGTAAGGCACCTGAAGTGGGAGTGCGGAAGTAAGTGTAAAAACTTCACATTAAAAAACCGAACAGTCAGAGCAATAACTGAAGCCAGTTTTCAAGTATGATGTTATTGGTATCGCGAGGGAAGGGTGTGGATGTGTATGAGAATATAGAAACGAAATTCACACCCACATGAAAACTCGCATTCTGGCTCCAATCAAATAAACAGGATGATCAAGGTTATTTCCAAATTGCATGCGTCCCAGTTTCTGACGCTACACGCTTTCCATAAATAATATCACACACTAAACTACACTTGGAAACAAGTACCTCTTTTAAAAGAACTCACTGTTCTCATCTTTCACAAAATTCACAATAGCAATCTTCGCAAATTTTAACGTTCCCTCTCTAATTGCTTTCCACATAAACGTCCCAAACCTGGCTCGCACCAAACCACCATCTCTACGCTTCACAATAGGAGCTCACAGTACACTCCCCGACTCCGATAGTTTTGACTCACTGACAACTTTCTCTATTAACAGCGACAAACGATCAGCCAATCATCATCCAATCCATATCTGACCAAATCAAAACTGCCTATGATTATGGTTTTCCTCGTCCTAATCCTTTTGATGTTCCTCGTCCTAATCCTTTTGGTGTTATTCTTCGTGGTGATGGTGTTGGTGGTCTTGATCTTCGTGATGGTGACGATCCTAATCGTTTCGACCGAGATGGTAACTACTTTTTGTATTTTTTTGAAAACGTTTGAAAGTGAAAAAATAAATTAACTCAAAAAAAGGTGAAGTTGTATGAATATATGTAATTTGAATTGTTGTTATGTATTGAGAATGGGAGTGTATGTTACAGTAAGCGTAATTATGTGATTTGCACGCACGATATTGTGAATGTCGTATTATAATGAGTGCGTTGGTTGATGTAAACAGTAACAGCAAGATGCCGTACCTATCAGATATCGTGGAATAGAGCAGGCATAAAAAGAATTACAAATATTGTCAATGTGCACTTCACTACTGCAATTTATTGTTTGAGAAAAACTCGAATTTACGATATCTCTTGCTATAAAATATATTATATGGAAGTATTATTTGAATTGAGTAGCATTTTGGGTAGAGTTAAATGCATGATGTTGTTCGCGTCAGAGTCTTCTTTTCATATTTAGCGTACCTTTTGTACACATAGTATTACTAAGGTCCAGTTTTTAACTGTTTACGTAGATGTATCTATATATCACAGAATTTACAATTCGATGATTAGTTAGCTAAGACATGTTTTAAGACATAATCGGCTTTGATTAAACATATAAACAACAGTGAATGGTTTGGGAAGTAAGGTGTGGGTATTGATATCGCTTTATTCTACTTTCACGCACACACTTAAATAGACAAAACTGAAATGTGTGTTTTCTGTTATAAATATATGCAAAACTTTGTTTGATTGCCATAATCTTACAATATTTTCAACCTTGAAAGTATGATACTTTTACTTTAGTTTTTTAAAGTAATATAAAGATAAAGTACGTAAACTTGAGATTTTTAATTAATTTTCACAAGATGTTACAAATCAATTTAAAAATGCTTAAGCCTAGGTTGAACGATACGGTCCATATACGACCGTATCGCTCCATCTGGGTATGTACCAATCTGTTGAAGCATAATAGCCTTTTCTGAATGAACGAATATATCAGATGTTGGTGGATTAACTATTAATCGAAGGTGAATTACTGTAACCGAATAAGAGCCAAGAATAGCATTACGAAATGAGAAGAAGTGATCATCAATCCATTCAAGCGCATTAGTAAGACATATTTCTCTATCTAAAGTTGACATATATACAAATATTTGCTTTCAAAATAATTCAGTTTCCTACTTTTTGCCTGTTCACGACGTCTCCGATATTCTTTCATGGATTTAATATCAAACCAGGCTTTCTAAATACAAGAAGAAAACAATAATTATTATATGATATGTCATGAATTGCTTCCTTTCTTCTTTTACAATGTATATGAATAATTAGTTTGTTATATAGTATGTTCATATTTTCTCTTATTCTACTTATTGATTGAATTTCTCTATGTGAAAACATGTATCAATTATATTATACTTCCAGTTGCGTTTACATTATCATCGTAAGACAACACAAGATACATCTTTCATTCTATATTTTCAATCAAATGGGTATTATAATCATAATTTAGATATATTGTGATGGTCTGCAACAAAAAAATTTCTGTCATAAGCTATATTTTTGATCTAATATTGAACAAGAAAAGTTCGAAACATATAATATGCCTGATTACTCAATCATATACATACAAAGAGAATTTGACTTCCAAGATTATTGACATGGATGATTTCATAAAGAAAAGAGTGCTCATCTACAATAGTTTATACTGTTGAAAGAGATGAGCCTCTACTCAGATACAAAATTTTCCATGCATCCCAAGTCTCTAGACGAATGTCAGTAAGAAATACTCGAATCTGCTGCTAACTTTACTTACGTTGATTTGAACTATGTTTGTATTGTTTTTGGTTAAAGAAGAATATAAGTTTCTGACGTTGAGTGTTTTTTTCAACATTTAAGGTTAAAATCCTTATGACGATCATTCCAATCATCGGAAACGACGTCCTAAACGACTATACAACGGTGTATTATTGCATTAATTCTCACCACATTTTGCTCCAATCCATCATCCTATCTTTTACATCGGTTACGGTTGTGTACGCTGCTTTTAAACGTGCCGATTGTATAAGATCGAAAATTTCATTAATTGTATTAAAATTAAAAATAAGTACATCAAAATCTAAGTTTATATGAAAATTACTGTTGTTTTACTATTATTTTGCGAAACACTTGATTAGTAACATATAATAGTTTTCAACTAAAACTCACCTGTTGTTTTTGTATATACATCTAATTCATTTTATTTCATTTTTTGCATAAAGCAGTTTTATATATTAATATACGCAAGCCATCTATTCGTAATCATCATCACTTATCCACTTTACTATTAATATTCTTATGTTCTGTTCTCTTTCTCTCTGCACAGTATGTACGATTTGATTCTTTTACTTACCACTACGAGTGTAGACAAATGCCATAGTTGAATAAATATGATAATTTCGATCTTTTTTTCATCTGGTTTTAAATTTAACTGCGAGCAATCATATGAGGAAAATTATTTCATATATTGTGCTTCGATGATATCTTGAGTTGTTTAGAACAGACAATAAGTAAAAGATATTTCTAACTAATTTATGCTTATTGAAAAAGAAAAAAATTGTTGAATAAAAATGTGAAACTATCTAAATAATTAAATAATATTAATGTTCTGTATTCTATATACCAATAATTGCAATTCATTGTTACTATGAACGAAAAAGAGAAGCATTGAGTCAAATATATCAGAAATTAATTGGAGTGAGAGTCTAAAAATAATCTATAAAATACGATATCAGAACTATTCTTTCATGAACAAATAAATGCATAGCCTTAGATAAACATACTTATCATAATTTGGAAAAATCCATTCAAATATATAACTCACTTTATAGAAGTATTAAAAAGATGTAATTAGTGAGTAATAAAGAACAATTGAAGAATCAATTATCTGAAGATTGTGTTCAAGTACTTTATAGAGTTAACAGAAAGCTCTGAACGAGTTACGTGATTGATGACTAGGGTGTGAGTGTAAAAGAAATATAGACTCACCCACCCTCACCCTTTCTGTGAGATTTTACATACATCATAATTGATGTGTTATCATTTATGATTAATTACATCACATTCGTTTCTAACAATAGAATTTGCGATTCAAACTATTAATTGATGGTTTACTGTTGTCGTTTTGAATTTAGTAAAAAGGGTGTGGGTATTCTTGTCTTACCACACCCACACCCCACGATCCTACCAAAAAAATAACATAAGAATTATTACCAGATGAATATAGTAATACATATCAAAATATGCCCGAAACATTATTATTTTGATTTGCATTTATCTTTGTTTACGTCAAATAAAAACATATTTGTGCTTAGTATGTAGTTCGTAATCAAATAAAAAAAATAACGAATAGATAGTGATATATACTGTTTTGTTGATATTTATCAGTGCGTCGATTTTCTCACTTAAAGTTTTATTCTACCCAACAATAAGAAGAAAAATGATGATTGGACAGAAATAAAAGGTACTTTCATAAACATCACTTTTCTCATTGGAACTACTCAATCGACAATATGACAACACAAAAATATTTTGCCTGATTTTATTCCAATAGGGAAGATAAACGAAGAATATTTGAATAAACTTCCTTCATTACATATAGTTACTTAGACAAATACTATTTGAAGTCTGCTATAAAATGTACATTGGCATACAAGTACAGTTTAAAAACACTGAGATATGCTCAGTCTGCTAGTATTCTTGAACCGCAGTAGTATCTTGTACTATCTTTATATGTATTCGCATCTTTCAAAGTCAATACAATAAAAAAGTAAAATTTTGAAAATGACGAATATGATTCTGTATGTTAATGTACGACATCTCTTAAAATATACAATGGTTGGAACATGAATATAAACGCATAGCTTTTCGCTTACTTATCTATTAAATATATTTGCACAACAATTTTGAAGTGAAGACTTGTATTACTTGGTGCGCATTTACATTGATAAATTTTCTTTTAAAATATGAGTGTAAAAGACGATTCATTACTTTGTCCAATAACATTGGAATTATTTAAAGATCCAGTCTTAGCACAAGATGGTCACACATATGAAAGAAAAGCTATTGTAGAATGGATTGAAAGGAATGGTCGAAGTCCATTAACTAATCAGCTATTATCACTCGAACATTTATATCCTAATTATGCTATTAAAAAAGCTATAGATAATTTTGAAAATTCAATGAAAAATAAAAAATATCAATATATTCTTAATGTTGATGTGAAAAGAAAACCTGGACGACCATTATTTCAAACATCTGAAAAAAGTATTTACATTGCAGAATGGTTATTAATAAATGAAAATCGCCCAGAAATAGTACTCTTAAAAATAGACGGTGCTCGATCACAGAAAGAAGCATCGTTTTATGTTGATCTCAGTCGTCATCCACATATTGTTCGAACATATGGAATAGTACATGAAGAAAATGTTAATGATGATAACAATGCAATTATGTTATTACAAGAGTATGCTCTTATGGGGAGTTTATTTGATATATTAGAAGAACGAAAAAAGCCGCCAGATGAAAAAATTCTTATTGAAATATTTTTACAAATTACTGATGCAATGATTTTTTTAGCTTTTAACAATGTTGTTCATGCTGATTTAGCTTGTCGTAATGTTCTCGTTTTCCGTTTTGACGAAAATGATCCAAAAAGTGTTATTGTAAAAGTCACTGATTTTGGGCTTAGTCGATACAGTAAACTATATTCAATACGTCCAAGTGCAAAACAAACTGTTTTAAATATTGTTCCGATACGATATGTAGCACCAGAAATACTTAAACGGAATACAACATCAGATGATTACACAGAAAAATCAGATGTCTATTCAATGGGTGTTTTAATGTGGGAGGCTTATTCTCGTTGTGCTATTCCTTGGGCGAAAATTCCTGATGATAATGAAGTTGCTCGACTTGTTATCAATGGTGAACGATTAACAAGACCGGCAAATTGTAGTGAATACTATTGGTCGATTATTCGTAAAACTTGGTCAAATTCACCGGAAGAACGACCCACATTTGGTGAATTAAAATGTCTTTTAACTGAACAGTATATTCGCAAAACACTTAAGCCAACCAATATAAGTATTAATACTTTTTTTATCAGATACTTTTGTTTTTGAAAAACTTGGATATGGTAATTCTGGGCATTTTTGACGTTTATATTCAAAAAGACGAGTTCACAGATATTCTTTATTATAGATGTTATTTTCTTGAGGAAAGAATTGCATCACAAAAATTGTGTTGCGCTGAAAGCATTTTAGTGAGCATTGAGTTAGACAGTCTCTCTTGCTGCAGTGTTTCGACTGCTGTGTTTAATAGTTAAAGTACTTAGAATTTCCAAAGCTTTATCCGAAATATTCGCTTCCAACTTTTCATTGATTTTAGGTATCTCTGACATTCCTCTCGATGCAATATGGGCACAGAATGCTGTGACTGTTGGTGGATTGGTGGTATCAGACAGTACCGACAACCAACTGTGTGAGCCTCATGGTCTCTTTATTGATGCTGATGATGAAACAATATTGATCGCTGACTACAAGAATCATCGTATCATCCAGTGGAAGATAGGTGATGAAAATGGACAAGTCGTTGCTGGTGGAAATGGCAAAGGACATGCGTATGGGCAATTATGTTGCCCAAGCGATGTGCTGATCGACAAAGAGACCGATAGTCTCATTATCTGCGATCTTGGACGAGTTGTGCGATGGACTCGTCATAACAGCTTCAAACGAGAAGAGATCCTGATCAACGGTATCAGCTGTTGTCAATTGGCCAAACATGATCAGAAATATATTTATGTCTCTTGCCAACAAGAAGAAGTGCGACGTTATGAAATAGGAACCAAAAATTTTACTGTTGTAGCTGGTGGAAACGGAAGAGGAGATAATCTCAATCAACTCGACTGGCCCGCTTATATCTTTGTTGATCAGCAACAAGCTCTCTACGTGTCAGACTATTACAATCATCGTGTGGTGAAATGGAATAAAGATGCTAGAGAAGGAATTCTTATCGCCGGAGGTCAAGGTGAAGGAGGTGCTCTGACACAATTATCTCATCCTAATGGGCTATTCGTCGATGCCCTAGGTACTCTCTATGTAGCAGACGCGGGGAATAGTCGAGTGATGCGTTGGCCTAAAGGAGCGAAACAAGGCATTGTCATTGTAGGTGGAAGTGGTAAGGGATCAGCCGCAAATCAATTTCGATTTCTCCGTGGTTTATCTTTTGATCGTCATGGCAATCTCTATGTCGCCGATCAGTTTAATTATCGTATTCAACGTTTTTCTATCTTAGGTTAATGCCTGCGATGTATTCACACTCGGCTAAAATATAATTACTTTAATATGAAGCCATAACTTTCGATTAGTTTTCAGGTGTTATAAATTCTGACAGGCTTTCTTGCGACATCACGCTGACTACATTCAGTATATTTTATCAAAAATTTAGTTTACCCTGAGAAAAAGTTTTCTTGTATATAATATAGAGTCAGGTGCCCTAATAATGATGAAGAGTTAGTCACTAACCTTGTTGGACTCGGTGCAAGAGAACTTCAAAGTCGATTGAGAGAACGTTTGTGCACAGTTGATCTTCAGACTCGTCTCTTTCGAACGCGCTATACCCTCGACCCTTTTCTGATGTACCTGTGTGGAAATACGAGCCATAGGTCGAACGGGTACAAGTACAGCCTACAGAATAGAATGCTTTTAAACTCTTTCTCAGTGAGTGACACTGAAATATGCCCCGTTGTTATTTCTAAACTACTGGAAGTTTTTGCAACTTTCGTTTAGAGGTACAAAAATTCGCTACGCCGGGCACTGATACTTATAAGAAGCTGGAGTGTGATGGTCGTCCTTCTGTCGAATGTGGCAAATGTCGTGATTGGTACTATACGGGTGACTTGAAAGATTGGCAATGGATCCAGGGTG